ATGCACCAAGAGCTTGTAACACTCCAAAGAGAAAGGAAAAATTGAAATCGCATCATATGACCCCTTTAAAAGCCTACAACATCATAATTGATACATGAATGTCTGAGGCCTCTAAATTATCAACAACGTGATCAAAAAACAAAATTGCATACATGCCTTCTGCCTTCTGATTGACAGTTCATCATTTTTTAGCAAGTACAATTCTAATAAAACTACAACAATGTCCACCTTCAGGCTGTACGCATGTCTTTCTCCTGCAAAATCTTTTTATAAGGTAAACTTAGGCATAACTTTTAAATATAATAATATTTCAAAATGAACCGGATTTTGATGAATGTTTATGTATACGTCTCTTAATTTTCATTGTATTGCATTGCATTTTGTGGGGGTTTTGCCCCCACAATAAAAACTACACATTAAAATATTACCTTACTATTATTTGGAGATATAGAGTGACAACTGATATTTATATGCATTTTTACGCAAGTGGTCTGTTATACTGTCATAAAATTCTCATTTATTTACATTACAAGCTAACAGAATTTCATCTTCCTTTTAGGCCATATACCAGGGGTGGCGAACGTCGGTCCTGGAGAGCCGCAGCCCTGCAGAGTTTTGCTTCAACCCTAATTAAACACACCTGAACAAGCTAATCAAGGCCTGAAGGGTTACTAGGAAGCTTCAGGCAGGTGAGTTTTTATTAGGGTTAGAGCTGAACTCTGCAGGACTGCGGCTCTCCAGGACCGAAGTTCGCCACCCCTGCCATATACCATCTGCAACAAACTGCATATTTTGCTAAGTTGCTGTTTTTTTTCCTCCTTGAGTATGAGCTCCATATTTTCACTATATCATACTAAATGGGCCATAAAAGCCTGATGGATCAAATATGTTACAGAACAGAAAACACGTATGCTATTTTTTTTAGATCATCTTTTATATTTTGTCTAAAGGTTCAATAACCAAGCTTTAAAAATTCCAAATGTTTTCCATGACTGTAGGAATGCTGATGATTAAATAAAACAATTAGTTTTCCTTCAACATCAGCACAGGTAATATTTGGGCAGGTGACTTGATATTTCAAGCAGTTTCATCAAAACATTTTTTAGCAAAATGATGTGCAATATAGAATATTATACAATAAAAAATAGGACCATTTAAAGTGTATAGTATAGCAGTAGTATAACAGAATGTTTAATAAAAAGTAAAAAAAAAAATGTATTAAAATGTAGGGAAAAAATAAAGAAAGAAATGTTATCACAGGACCAAGATATACACTTTCCCTTGTATGCTAATTTTAAGCAAAAATCTCAATATCTAATATAAAAATGTCCAGGAACTAATTTGTTATATGTCAACAACCCATTTACCATATCAAATGTCCGGTGGTCAAAAGCAATACCATAAGGTAAATATCCAGCACACAGATACAGATTATCAGGAATATTAGATGGTTCCTTCACGGACTCATAAACATGGCTGCCGTTCGCCTGCAGCAGCAGGGCTGGGCCTATTCACACGCTCACTAGTTACTAGTTACACTAGTAAACACATCTGACTAAATGACACCCGACCGTTATGACATATCAAAACGCATGCACTGACACATAACGCCTGTCTGCTCCTCTAAAAATGCATGTATCACTTATGGGCGTGACATATGTTATTAAGTATTGGTTTTATCGACCGGCTGTGGATTACAACGAATCTGTCAATCCAGCGATTATCTTTTTATTTTTGAAGTTCAACTCTCTTGAGTGTGACAGAACAATGAACAGTCCGCTATTCAATCACATGACCCCCCAAAAAGATGATGTTTTAATCCTTGCCCTTCTGGTCATTCATTGAATTAAAGGCATACGCCCATGAAATTCTATATGCCGGAGAAAACATACTGTATGTCTACTTCAGGGAGGAAAAAGAACAAACAATAACTCTTCCATATATTTTCATAGAAGCTAATGATACTAAAAAAATAAAATAACATAAAACGTTTATCCGTTTCAGTGTTTAATAACGGAGACTACACTTAACGTTAGATATTGACAACATATCCGGCGTTGCCATAGCTGCACTTATAATGATCCGCTACAGAGATAAAACTAATCAAGACGTTTAATTAATCTAAAAAGCACTAATTTAAGTGTTATATTGTAATCTTATGATGTCGCCTCCTTTATTGGTCTCACGTAACGATGTCCGATTTGAGAACAAATCGTTCTTTTGAATCGGATCTCTGTTGGGAACCGGTTCTCCAAACGACACGGTCACGAATTAAATCGGTCCGAGCGGTTCTGGATTCAAAATTTACACTCTGACTGAATCAACCGAAAATCGTTTTCGTAATCAGTAATCAGCCGATCCGTAATCAGCCGAAAACGACAAGTGGGATGACCGAACGAAAATATGGTGTACATTTCTGAGCCGGTAACGTTACTGTTCAAAAGAACCGATTCGTGGAAATGTCCGAACTTCCCATCACTAATTCGGACATCTTTCTATGTACTCGGTGACTTTCTTTGCATAACCCTCATATGGTTTTGTCATTTTTAACATATATGTTCAATTATCAGTAAAAAAGATAATAATATGAAGTGTATAACACCACAATTAAGTTTCGCTGAAGCGGTCAGCTGCAAAAACAAGCTAAACATTTCGGTAAACATCCATTCGCATTCCCAAACGCGACTCGGGCGATGTGTGCTCAAACGCAAATGTACAAGTATTACAATCATATTTCAGAAAAGACGGCACTTACCGCTATATATCCACACGTAGACGACTAAAACAGCATAGAAATCCTGCACGATGCCAATTCTCCAATGACGTCTACAACCAGCAGCAAAAATCAAAAAAGACTGACGGTTAAGTTTTTAATAGTTCCTTTTTTGTTATATACACCCATTATAGCTGCGTTTCATTCTCCAACGCCGCGCAAGATGCTTGCGTTTCTGATATATTTAGTTAGGCTGATGCTGGTGACCGTTCCTCTCGCAGGCTTAGGATATGGATGAATGCCTTGATTTACTGAAATGATTACGTCAACTGCCCTGTCAACATCGTGAATGACGGGCCGTCTGGCCAATAAGAATGAAGTATTGTGTGAGCTATGCGTCGTGTAGCCAATAAGAATGCTCTAAAAACTAAGGTGGGCTAGGCAGCTGTGACGCAATATTGCAGGGTCGCTTACGATCCGCTGTGGCGTGGCATCAGACTACAAAAGAGTGAAGGGCGCCGCCTAGCAGAAACATGGATAAAACAGGGCTAGCCTATAATTTAAATTCATAATACACGTTTTGCAAAACATTGGCAAGTAGGTAGATTGTAATATTTAAGTTTATTAAATAATATAATTCAATGATTTCATCGATGGCAGTGTGTGTTTTTTGTATTCTACAATATTTATGTTATAGTTTTTAAATATTATATATATATATATATATATGTTTTAGTAATTTTGTTTTTGTCATTTTATTTTTAAATGTTTATATTTCTATACATTTTTTATTTACATCAAGTTAAATGAAAATGAGAAATGCTGAAAAAAAAATTGTTACTTGAATCTATCTGAAAGTTTAAGTTTTTTGTTAAAGTTTATTTCAATTAAAAATATGGTTTTAGTAGTAGTTAACTATAATAGCCCTGAGCACAATTTAATCTAGCCACATTATAAAATAAAACACATAATTATATACTACATATCATAGAAGGCATTTTAAATGTGGTATATTTTGAAGCAGCATCTATTTTAATTGCCCTCAGTAAATTGCCTTTTTATATTGTTTTGTGTATTTTGAGAGGATCTCATCATGACTATTTTAGAACATTAATAATGTAATTATATTTAGAATGAACATTGTGACAATCACATTAATTAATTACATGGCAGCAATTTAGAATTCTAAACGGTTTTATTTGTTAATTTTTAAGGTAGGGTTTAAAGGCTTAACAAGTCAGGAAGAGTGAAAATAAATGCAACAGCTGTCATTGTTTGTGCATTACCATTTATTTCAGTTCAAAGAGCTGGGTCCAAAAGAAGTTTGTAGCAAAGGAAGCAAATTCCTGTACAGATAAACCCTTTAAGTCACTGGAAAAACTCTTCCAAGTCCAACAACTGGGGTTAATAGTAATAACAAGAGATGATAAACCTTTATGATCCAAAAAGGAGAACAGAACAAAAAAACATGATGTACTGGCATTCTTATGACGATCATGCTACAACACAGCTTCACATTCTTTGATTTTGTTCCTGGGTTTGAGCTCCGATTCAGATTTTAGTCAAAACGGTGCACATATGAGATTTTTTATGCAAACCAACAAAATTCTAATACAGAGTCAATCCCCATCTGATGCTCCACTGGTATGTTTCCATCAATTTACACCAACATCTATTGTATTTTCTACAAGACAGTCTAGAGCATGTTAATTTGATTATTTAAAATATGTTGTATTCCTCGTATAAAATAAACAACAGGTTTGTGACTGTCTACAGCCAATGTTTTGTCATTCTACTGAGTGTAAAAATGGAAATACTGGTGTTACTTAACAACATTCTTCACAAACATGAAATGGATCCTCTTCCTCAATGTTTTCCCTTACCGTCAGAACCACTAAAATGCATTCATGAGGACAACAAAAACAAAACAGGAAACAATTTCTTTATATCCAAATGTGTTAACTTTATGGTGTGAGACTGGTATGTATGCAGACATACAAATTCAAAATCAAAATGTTTCAAAAGTCTAAACTTTATTATGTTTCAATTTAGAACCATGAGCCTTTCAGTCAGTGGCTCGATAAACGGGGGAAAACAATTTAGGTATGGTCATATTTTTTTCCTCTTTCTCTCTCTTCAGTTCACTTCCAGCGTGGTGAAAACATTTAAACTGCGGGGCAAGCTTGGCTCACTGAGAAAACTCAAACACGGCCTCTCTGCAACACAATGGGAAGCAATTTCTTTATATATCCAAATTTGTTAACTTTGAGGTGTGAAACTGTGTGCTCTTTCAGCTTGGTATGTATGTGCAGACATACAAATTCAAAATCAAAATGTTTCAAAAGTCTAAACTTTATTATGTTTCAATTTAGAACCATGAGCCTTTCAGTCAGTGGCTCGATAAACGGGGGAAAACAATTTAGGTATGGTCATATTTTTTTCCTCTTTCTCTCTCTTCAGTTCACTTCCAGCGTGGTGAAAACATTTAAACTGCGGGGCAAGCTTGGCTCACTGAGAAAACTCAAACACGGCCACTCTGCTTCTCTCTCATCCAGGCCTGGATACGCTCCTTCAGCTCTGGGACTGTGGAGAGAGGGAAAACCATGGAGTCAGCGTTACACAGTCTAACAATTAAAAAAAAAAAAGACAAGTCATAGAGTGCATTTGGCAGCAGCGCTGAAAGAGGCAGCTCGTACGGTCTTTGTAAAGCTGTGTGTGGTGGGTACCTGGTTCCAGCATGCTCTCGGTGAGAGGCTGTCTGTTGAAGGGGTCAGTGGGAGAGTTCAGGAGGTGTCGCAGAATGATGGCTCGATCCATGATGTTGCCAGAGGGAAGTTGCACGGGATCAGTCATGAGAGTGTCCATCAGTGGGTCTGTTTAGATAGGACGTCAATGTTACTTACTCCAATCAACTATTAAAAATATTACATTTGTAGCTACACTCCTGTTCAAAAAAATTTTGTTAGGGTTGTTTTTAAGAAATTAACACTTACTTCTAGTTCGTTTATTTATAAAGCACATTTAAAAGTCACAAGACTGACCAAAGTGCTGTACAAAGGCACAATAATCAAAATGTAAAACACATACAAACATCCTCAACTTGTAAAAGCTAAAGAAAGCAAGCGAGTTTCCAGAAGAGATTTAAAAATCGATAAAGATGGAGCAGCTCTGAGGTGTGCTGGCAGGCTGTTCCACAATCTAGGGTCTATCTCCTCTGTTTCAACCTTGTGCAAGGAACCATAAGTAGGTTTAGATTATATCTATGCACAATCAGCTTGTAACACTCCAAAGAGAAAGGAAAACTTGAAATCGCATTATATGACCCCTTTAAGTCTCTGGTAGGGCTATAAGTATGCAGCAATTCCGATAAATAACGTGGGGCGAGGTTGTGTAAGCATTTATATACAAACAGGAGAATTTTAGAATTTATCCTAAAGCGAACTGGAAGCCAACGAAGAGCTCGCAAAAAAAGGGGTGGCGGGATCATATTTGCGACCTTTCTTATGAAATTTGGCTGCTGCATTTTGGACCAATTGTAAGCAAGCGACCTGGGACTTTGAGATGCCACAACACAAAGAGTTACAATAGTCCAATCGAGAAGTGATAAACGCATGAACAGCTGTCTCGAGAGGTTTTTCATGTTTTATTTTTGAGAGTAAGCGGAGCTGAAAAAAGCTGGAAGCAACAACCGAGTAAAAACATGTTTATCTAAAGTGAGCCGACTATCGAAAAGAACACCAAGGTTTCTGACACACTTTGATTCAAAGACTGAGAGGCTATCCAGGGTAGAATTATTGAATTTGAAATTGTCAGATGGACCTAAGACAATAACCTCAGTGTTTGAGTCATTTAAGGTTAAAAAGTTACTAGCCAACCAGTGCTTTACCTCATCAAGACATGCAAATAAAGAGTGTATAGCTGAAGGGTCATTTCTTTTTATAGGCAGATAGATCTGGGTATCATCTGATCTGGTGACTGAGCGGAAAGTTTTATGTTTTTTCTTTTTTGCTGTTGTTAAATTTACGTGTTAAGTTCTGCGTTTTGGTTTGTTTGTGCGTGTATTGAAGTGTAACAAAAACAAATAATGGGGGGGAAGAAGATCGTCCGAGTATTGCTGTTGCATGTGCGGATTACATCGAGTGTTTGTATGCAACATGATATCGCCAACATTGCCACAACAAGGGGACATGATAAAGTGTTGCGGGTTTGCAGCAGGGAATGGTTACTATCTCTACGGAAACCAGTGGTTATAGAGCCGGGCTTGCTGGACGGTGTTCCAGAGGAGTTGTTGCAACGACACGGGGATCATCGTCGGCCGCAAAAACGGGGGAGAAGAGGCGACAACACCGACTTCGTCGAAAACGTCACAAGTTAACGCTGCCATCAATACTATTCAGCAATGCTCGCTCCCTGAGGAACAAGATGGAAGAGCTGTGTCTGAATGCAAGAGTTTGTAATGAATATCGTGAGTCGTGTCTCCTCATTTACACAGACAGCTGGCTTCAAGGTAATTTCCTAGATTCCCTTGTTCACGTGCAGGGGTTCTCTAATGTTCGTATGGACAGGAATAACAACTCGGGGAAAATGAGAGGAGGTGGCATTTGTGTTTTCATCAAAGACTCTTGGTGTAGAAATTATTCCATGAAGGATACGGTATGTACTCCTGATCTTGAACTTATATGTTTAAGTCTAGGGCTGTGCGATATGGACAAAAAAAATGTTTACCACAAACACAACATTTATGCATTATTTTGATTTCAAATCCAAACGTTGTTTCTGAAAATGCTTTTTCAGCATTGTGATTCTCTTTTATCACAGTACGGTCTTTCATAGACATTCACGTTTAAACTCAATAAATATAACTTTGTTTAACTGCCACCACGAGTGCCATCTATTATTGCCTTGTTTATCTAAAAGCGCACTTTTCCTTGTTTTAAATCTAGCCAAAAAGCCATGTGTTGACTGTGAAACAGTAGACTTTAATTATATGCATTTATGGTGTAATTACAAAATTTCCGTGCCAATCCATGTTATTTTTTACTGCGAATAATGCGCTGTCACTTTCAGCGCGTGCAGCACAGCAGAAATAGATTCCGTGCGGAAACGATCACAGCATGACTGCTGCAGACACACCACTCCTGGAGCGCACTGCCGGACCTCAATCGCATACAGTGTGAACGCTCCGTTAACATGGGCACGGACAAAATACGCACCACAGACGGAGTGTGTGAACCTGGCGTTACGTTTGTATGCCCGCCCAGGCTGTTCTGTTCTCGTGCTCCATTTAGGCGCGCT